CCGAATTTATAATGCCCAATTGCGTGATCATAACCATATTACATTGCGGAATAAAGTAAATTAAGCTTAACATCATACTCTTATATCTTTAGACCAAATGTTATTAAATGTATTCTCCTAATCATTAGCTACGCGTGGCTTCGAACCGCACCTCGTTTGGAGCATTGTAGCTCGCATTATGACAAATTAGAGCAACATAAGTGTGTGTTGGACACAGGCCCCGCGCGCTTCAGCGCGCTACCGGGCGCTCAAGCGCGCGTTATCGGGCGCTAAAGCCTCCATCTGGGCGCTTAAGCGCACGGAAGCAGAAAGCATCAGGTCTTTCAGTGTAGATGGGCGCTTCAGCGCGCACTAGGGCGCTCAAGCGTGCTATCCTGGGCGCTTAAGCCCCCATTTGGGACGTTTTAGCGCGCATAGGCAGAAGCATCTCCTCCTTCAGCGGCTAAGGGCACTCAAGCGCGAACCAGGGCGCTCAAGCACGCAACCCTGGACGCTTCAGCCCCCACTCTGGGCGCTCCAGCGCGAGGAGCTAGAGAGCATTGGCTCTCACAGGGGCAGCAGGGCGCTTGAGCGCGCTCCTGGGCGCTTGAGCGCGCTCCTGGGCGCTTGAGCGCGCTGCCAGGGAATTCTCCCTCTCTCATTTCTCAAGTCCCAACCTAGGAAAAAGGGCATCCCCATGACAAGCCTCAATGGTTCATGCCTCATAACTTAACCCTAGCACTTATCCAACCTCTCCTCAGGGATTATACTAAATTTTGGGCAGCATAACCTTTGTTTTCTCAACATTTCCCAATTTAGCAATAGGTACCTAATATAATTTTCAGCTCAACAATCTAATACATAAAGAGCATGCATATAATGAACTTAAGGTAATCATCAATTACAAATCATGTTCATCACAATTCATGGAACTTAGCTTACAAAACACTATGATCACTCCCTTGGCTCCCATCAACAAAGAGATAACCAAAGGCATGAGCATAGGCTAAGTCCATTCCAAATAAACAGAACATACATCTATCAATTGTCTATTAATTACAATCCTATACATGTGAGCTACAAAACAACATGTATAATATCAAAATACAGGATCCTCATGCATCACTACTAGTCCAAGTATGGCCACTTGCCACTGGTGGCTCCTGCAGCATCCTTACCTGAAAGGGGGTCCCCACAACACGGGGTGAGATATACGAATATATCCAGTAAACCAGGGGTCCTTGGAGCATCTCTCCACCACCATAGTTCCAAAAATAGATTAATAGCAATAACAATAATAATGCAGTAAATACATATCTATGCAAAGTGTAAATAACATCTCCAGGAGAAATCCTTCGAGCTCTCTAGCTGTCCTAAGGATACTCAGATGCAAATAGTCCTACTGACCCGCTAAACTACCAAGTATGATTTACGCATCGTCATGCAACATACCAACATAGGGAAACACCATCCTATGCCACACCAAATGCATACACATACGTATAACAAAGCATTAAACTATTTCATTGCATTTATATACACTATCAACTACCACTACCCTTTCAGGGCTTGGTGGAACAATCAAGGGAATTACACCCAAGGTCCGAAGGCTTACCTCAAAGCTTCAGTTCAACCTTTGTTCACCACCAACAGGTTCAGCAACCAATCAACTTTGGTTTCAACAATGACTTACAAGTAACACACCTATTCCAAGAGCTAATCAAGCTCCATAGCTTGCTCCAATGGTTGGTCACTCACGGTTGGTTCAAATGCCTCAATCCACCAATGGTTACACAACCAAGGATTGATGGCTCCTCAAGCTCCAATGGAGGTTGAAGCTCCCAAAACCCCAAACTCTCACAAAGGGGCGAACTTTGAGAGGAAAAATCTCACCACACCACACTCCCACTAAGAACCAAGCTTGGATTAATGATGAGGGCGAGATTCTAAGTGATTTAGGCTTTTGAATCGTCAAATTTGGTTGAGGATTACACTCCCTCCTCCCTTCTTCTCCTTCCCTCCTTCTCTCTCTTTTCCTTTCTTCCTTTCCTCTTCTCTGATGCTCGACGGGTTGGGTGGGACAATGGGTCTTTCTTTTGTTTTCAAATCACTTAACATAAGTTAAGTGGTAACATGTGGGTATTAGTTCGTCTATCTATTCGACTCCATTAATTACCAAACTTTACCCAAAAGTCTGGAGTATTTTTCTAAGAATATTTCTAATTTTATTTTTATATTTTGGGTACTTTTTCCTACACCCATTTATACCCCTTAATTTTCACTGAGTACACTTTTTACCTCAAAAGTGACCCCAAATCATTTAATTAGACCTTATACTTAATTTTACTCTCTAATACATGCTTAATTATTTAATTACATGTAATTTACTAATTAATTAAGTTAGGGCTATTATATCTTCTATTTTTCAAGCTACTTTGGCCCATTGAAAGAAAACCAAGTTTGAGATCTTAAGAGAAAGCAAGAAAGGAACGTGAAAGGAGCAAGTTGGATGGCTTTGGGAGTGCCTTCATGCCACCTCAGGCGCCATCATCGGGAAAGCTACTGTTTTGTCACACTTCCAGCGCTGGCTCTATGTTACTAGCGGCAAGCTTCACTCCATGCCCACGTCGTAAGCGCCAGAATGCCCACAAACTCTCTCCCCCTATATATATATATATATATATATATGGAAATGCATCCATCATGTTGTAGAAACCAAATGGTTTGTTATGTTAAGAAAAAGACAAGACCAAAAGACAAAACTAATTCATTGAATAAAGTGTCATTTCACTTTTTTTAATATTATATATCTTATCTTTTTCTTAACATGACAAAAAATTTGGTTAATACAAAATAAGGGATATAAACCCTATATATATATATATATATATATATATATATATATATATATATATATATATATATATATATAAGTAAGTAGGATCCTTTGACACCAGTGTCAAATATAAAATTTGACACCTTATCTTTTTCTTAAAATATCAATGCCTCTGATTTATAAGCATGTGACACCATTGATCTTTTTTTATCTAAGGGCTCTCAGATGAGGTGTCAAATTTTAAATTTGACACTGGCGTCAAATGATCCTACCTCATATATACATATATATATATATATGGGCTTATCGTTTCTCAAGCTGCTTGAGATAATTTTATCTCCGGCTACTAAATCATAACCCTACAAAGGTGGATCAATGGTGATAAAGGAAGAGAGAGAAAAAAGAAATCATAACCATTCAAAGGTGAATCAATTAATATAAGAAAATAAATAAACAAAACGAAGCAGTTTTGAGATGGCCGGAGATAAACTTATCTCAAGTTGTCGGAGAAATAACTTTCCCTATATATATATATATATATATATATATATATATATGGGGCAGGATATTCTTACACCGGTGTAAGAGTTAAAAGTTTTACACTCAATCTTGACCATTGATCCACTTGTATCAAATGGCTCACATTACTAAAAAATTAGAACCCTTAGATATAAGTGGGATCAGTGGACAAGATTAAGAGTGTAACTTACACTGGTGTAAAATGATCCTGACCCTATATATATATATATATATATATATATATATATATATATATATATATATATATATAGGGGAGGGTTACGTTTACAACTTTTTTTGTTTACAACTCTTACAACCTCAAATATGTTCTCCCGGGAGTACACTGCTGGAGAGTGTATTCCCGGGAGAACATAGTTGAGGTTGTAAGAGTTGTAAACAAAAAAAGTTGTAAATGTAACTTGCCCTATATATATATATATATATGAAAAAAATTATTTCTCAAGCAGCTTGAGATAAGTTTATCTCCGGCTACCTCAAAATTACGTCGTTTTATTTATTTATTTCCTTATATCAATTGATTCACCTTTGAATGGTTATGATTCCCTTTTTCTCTCTCTTCCTTTATCACCATTGATCCATCTTTGTATGGTTATGATTTAGTAGCCGGAGATAAGATTATCTCAAGCAGCTTGAGAGACGATAAGCCCTATATATATATATATATATATATATATATATATATATATATATATATATATATTGTGATGGAATATCCTAACCACCTACCCAATGATCCCTTAAAGGATAACTACTCAATTATCCTAACAATATAAAACAGGAAGGTTGCTAAGGATAGAGTCTCTATCCCAACAGAAAGGAAGTTAAATCCTACTACAATTGGGAGATCTACACAAGCCCAAGAGGTAACCCTTATAAATAAGAGCTTAAAGACCTCAGGTACATACTCTGAACTCATTTACTACTTCTGCCCACACTGTGCATACACCCACGTCTCGGCTATAAGCCTATTGCTTGTGCGCAGTAATGGAGATATTGGCTATAAGCCAACCAAGATACCTATCCATAGGATATATCTGAGCGCATACCCTTGAGGTATCATTATACGGTTTAATAGAACCGAATATATATATATATATATATATATATAATCTTAATTTTCAAAAAGTACTGTGAATTATTGGTTTACTTACACCCCACTAGATTTGTGAGAATGCTTAGAGAAGTGGGGTCACTTACAAATATTGGATTGAAAAGGTTACTGATTAATCAACTCAAAATCTGAAACGAATAACAACTTAAATGTTCAGATTCCTTTTGAAATATTGGACATTATTCTTTTTTTTTTTGGGATAAAAAAAGAGATACGTTTTCGCAAATGAAGTTTCCCTTTTTCTAAAATGTCATTAACATAACAAAGCTTAGTACATACTCATCTCTTTTAAATCCATTATTGTCATAATAGTTGTTTATTTTGTTTCCTAAGTGTCTATCCTAGCAGCAATATATGCGTTGTCGACTTGCCCCAATGAAAGTGATTCCTAAGTTCACCCCACTAGAAAGAGAATGTGAGAGTGAGAGGTCTTGGAATTAAACCGTGTAAACACATATATGACGTAGACAATCGATTCCATGTTGTTATATATAATGGAAGCCTTCTCATGCTATTCCCTAGGAAGAAACGCAAACCTTCCTCAAGTGTTCTTCCCCACTCCCTATAGTATCCTCACTTTGGTTCTCTAATATTTGATATCCACCCCTTTTTCTCAACACAACATCTCCTAATTCTCCAACGCATAATAACAAAAATGGCCACGGAAAAACTTAGATGTGTAGCAAACTTCCTTGAGAACTCTAAACACCACTTTGCCATGATCGCTTTACAATTTGGCTATGCTGGCATGAACATTATCACTAAGGTTTCCCTCAACCGAGGCATGAGCCACTATGTCCTTGTTGTTTACCGTCACGCTTTTGCAACTGCTGTCATAGTTCCATTCGCTTTCATCTTTGAAAGGTTCATATAACAAACATACATATACCCTAGCGAGTAATAGAAAGTTTTTGTTTTATTAATACAAAATGCTTTAATTGCCAACTAATGCTAATACATGGTTTCCATTTTCCAGGAAAGGTCAACCAAAGATAACATTCCCAATTTTCATGCAAATTTTCATCCTAGCTCTGCTTGGGTTAGTTCCGTAGTTTGATGCACTGACAATATTTTGATAGTCATATTATTGTATAGTGAATATATATGAATAAGAAATTGCTTACATCAGTTTGACTATTGTAAACAGGCCTGTGATTGATCAAAACTTCTACTATGCTGGGTTGAAATTGACATCACCAACCTTCTCATGTGCAATGAGCAACATGCTTCCTGCCATGACTTTTGTGATGGCCGCTTTATGCCGGTAAATTAAGATCAACCCAATAGAAGTTTTTCAAGGGTTTCTTTCTTTCATTTTGTATCACTCTCCATTAAACCCCACTTTACGAGAGTAAAAGTGAGAAAAATATTTATATGCAATCTTATTTTTATATTTTTCTAGAGACTATTCGAACTCATGATCTTTCACGGGTTCTCTCGGATTCAAATCCAAAAAATAGTCTTTGTGATTAAAAGACTATGGATTCGAATCCAGAAATAGTCTATTTATAAATATATAAAGGTGAAGGTGCATATAATAATTGTTCTCTTCCCCTACTCTTGTTAGTCAGGATTTATGGGAACTTGTGATTTCTCCTGAGTACCTGTAAAAGTTTTATCACTATTTCAGTATCGCCCTCTTTTATTTTTTTTCTCTCTTAGGAGTAAGGATTCTTGATTAGTTCTAACTATGGATGGATTATATGAAAAGGATGGAGAAGATCAACATGAAGAAGGTGAGGTGCCAAGCAAAGGTGATAGGAACCATGGTGACGGTGGCTGGGGCCATGTTGATGACCTTGTACAAAGGCCCTATTGTGGAGATGATGTGGAACAAACATGCACCTCATAGTGAAACCAATGCAACAAACACCACACGATCCTCAGACAAGGATTGGTTCATAGGCTCAGTCTTCCTATTCATTGCAACGCTTGCTTGGGCATCCCTCTTTGTTTTACAAGTAAGACCACGTATAAAGCAAATATTTGTTACCTTTTTTAGTGCTTTATCTCTCTCTTTCTCTTGTTTGTGTGAGAGTGTGCTTGTTGACGTTACGTAATAAACATTTATGTTTCATGTTATTGGACAGGCCAAAGCAATAGATACGTACAAAAATCATCATCTAAGCCTCACATCACTTATCTGCTTTATTGGGACACTTCAAGCTACTGCTGTTACTTTTGTTATGGAACACAAGGCTTCTGTGTGGACAATTGGCTGGGATATGAACTTACTTGCCGCTGCCTATGCGGTAATAATAAGATCTTATTTTCTTCTTCCATTTAACTTAAATTTGTTTTTGTTTTTTTGGCTGATGCATTTAACTTAATTATTAAGGGACTCTTTAGTTGTTGTTTTTTTTTTGTTGACAATTTATAGGATGTGATCGACATTTCTTTTAATGTTTTAATTTTTGTATCAGGGGATTGTTACATCAAGCATATCATACTACGTACAAGGGTTGGTAATTAAGAAGAAAGGGCCTGTTTTCGCAACTGCATTTAGCCCTCTAATGATGATCGTTGTAGCCATCATGGGCACTTTTATCCTTACAGAGCAGATTTATCTTGGAGGGTAAATTTCCATATCTCTGCTTCACATGTATATATATATGAGATTTCAGAGTATTTAAATTAAATAAAAGTATGAATATCTTTATGTACCCAAGAAAAAATATCACGACCTTCGTTGTCATATATTATAAAACAATTATCAAATTTAGCAAATCATAACTGATAACAAAATATAGATTTTAATGATAAAGAATAAATTTTTTTTTATAAAGATAAAAAGGATAAAAGGTTTAGTTTTCCAACTTCCTATTTCAACTTCTCAAGCTAACTGGAGAATTTGACTTTGGGTGCAGTGTTATTGGTGCCATCTTGATTGTCATAGGTTTATACTCTGTTTTGTGGGGAAAGCACAAAGAACAAGTGGAGAACAAAGTGGCAGAGGATATACCCTTGCCTGTAAAGGGTGTTCAAGTTGATGGAAATCCAGAAGCACTCATTGATTCCACTGATCAATTTGCTGAAACACAATCAAATCCAAAAGCAGAAGCCAACAAGCTCTCTTCAATTGTTATTAGCATCCCTAAGCCTCCTACAAAAGCTAACCAAGAAGCAAAGGCATAAGCACACTAAAATGTGAATAAGGATGGCCTTTTAATCATCGTTTCACCCACCATTTTGTCCCTTGTTAGCAAATTTTCCTTGCCCTTTAATCAACTTTGTTGTAAAAGGAGTCTCGTTTGCATCTAAGTTATATATAATTTGTAAGAACTTCAAACTAATCAAATTAGAGAAGAGAATCACGAAGTTTATCTCTCTTTTGATATACTTGTCCCTGCAGTGATGGAATTTTCTGTAACTTTGTGTTTAGCTGACACATGATTCAGATCCCACTTAGGCTGATAGTGGTTAAATTGATATAACACTGTACATCATTTAGAATCCTGCTTATAGTGCATCTGATGCCTCATTCCCATAAGGGTGACGTACAATAAGTGTTACCTAAGAATTGAGCATGATACTTCATTAAGAAAATAAGTAGACTAAAAAAATGCCACAGCGGGTTAATCAATTTATTATAGGATTTAATGTTTCTCATGTTCTAGGAGATAATTTTATCTCTTGCGCATATGTACACATAAAAATGAATGGGACTCATGTGGGGGCCATGTAAAGAGAAGAAAAAAAAAAAAAAATATTAGCCTCATGTACTTTTATATATATGTAAGATAAAATTATCTCCTACAACATAAAAATATTAATCTAACTGATTTGTCCATTGGGAATTTAAGACTTAGGAGTATAAGATTCGCCCTTTTTTTCTCTCTCCATCTCTTGGTTGTTTTGATACGTCAAAATGTAAGAGAGATTGATGATACGAAATCACTAAATTTTCTCCATAATTCTTTTCCTTAAATGTAAGATATTAAAGTGCGTTTCTTTTTTTCTTTTTCTTTTTTGCAATAAAGTGCGTTTCTTAGTAGGCGAACACTAAAGGCAGCTTCCTATAATAATAATAATATAATAAATCGTCCAATTTATAATATATTTTTAGAATTTAAATAATTATTATTTATTTGTTCACTATAATATTTTGATAACAAAATTTATATTTAAAGTGTCTCTAAAACTCAAACTTTAACCCAATGAGTGTAGCACAATTGGCAACACAGACTAGGGGTGTTCATTTTCCAAATCGCAGTGACCGAACCGAAAAATCGAAAACTGAAAAACCGAAATCCAAAAAAAAAAAACTGCAAATTTTAATTGGATTGGATCAGATTTTGGTTTGGTTGATGAAAACCAATTCAATTCAAACCGATTCAATATATTAATTTCTCTCTACTTAATTGGGTCTTTCTCCAATCATAATCCAAAAAATTCTTAACCCATGACCCATTAACCCATCAATTAAACCCAAGAAAAAATCTAGCCACATCTCATGAGCAAAATTTTATCTATGGAGAGCTTCATATCTCATTGTCCAGAAAAATAACTGTATTATCATTTAGATATGTTATTTGCACAATAATCATAAACAAATTTTAGGCTTTTCAAAAAATCGAAAACCAATCCAATCCAAATCAAAAAAAATTGGATCGGATTTGAAAAAAATTGGATCGGATCAGATCAGATTTGAAAAAAAATTCAAAACGAATGGATGATTACATGATCAAACCGAAAGGATTGGATCGGATAATTTTTGCTTCCAAAACTGATCCAATCCAGACCACGAACACCCCTAACACAGACTAAGTAGATGAAGAGATAACATGTATTTGATTCCTACCAAATACATTTTTGAGAAGGAGCGATGAGGTAAAATTAACTGTGACTAACCCCGACTCAGAATTAGTCTCATAACCTGCTCAAAAAATTAAAATTTGTGAGGATTATTGAAGGATCGACTCGCCTCAAAGAGGTATTTATGATCGGTATAAACAAAAAAAAAAAAAAAAACTCAAACTTTAAGAAAATAAAACTTGACCGTATTATAATAAATATTGTTTTATCCTTAAATTTAAGAAAAATAATATTTATGCTCTAGAAGTTTAATGCTACCTAGTCTTTTACAATAATATTTATTAATTAAAAGTAGTAAGGAGATATTCAAATTAAATTGAGAATTATGAAAATTAGGAAAGCTTCCTAAGGATAAAAGAAATTAATACATAACAAGTATTTTAAATACTTGGTGAAAATTTAAAAAAAAAAAAAAGTAAAAACAAAAACAAAAAGTCAAGGTTTTCCCCCAAACATTTTCCTTATTTAATTGAAAAATAACAGTAAAAGTAAAGAAAATGCTCTCAGTGGTCACTTCCACGAAGAGCCAAAGTTGCTAAGTAAAAATACAAAGGCTCAGGTGTCAGGACTAAAGAAAAGAAAACACAAAACAAAACCAAGGTTTTGATGGTTAGCTCGTGTGGGTTGAGAGAAATTGAAGGATTGAGAAAATCTCGAGGGAGTGTGGTTGTGGGTTTTAGTGTATTTTTCTTCATATGATGAGTTGTTATTTGAGTTTCTCGGATCATCCTAGTATTGTCAGTTTCTTGACTTTAATTTATTGGTATTAGATGTGGTGTGTAGGTAACGTGGAGCATAATAAGTCCAGAATACTTCTTTTTTTGTTGTTTATGGATATAATATTTTCTTTTAATTTTATTATAATTATTACTAATTTATTTCTTTTATTGTTTTGGAATAACTTTGAAATAAAAGTTTACAATGTTACTTATTTTAATTATTTAAGGGACACGGTATACTAATATACGATGGATTTGACACAATTTCTACATTTTTATGGTTTAAGATGAGTCAACTCTTTTACCACATAAGAAATGTTATTGTTTTTCCTATATATATTGGTATCCGAAACCTGTTATAATTTATTCTAAGTGCGAGGATGACGTTATCATTATCATCTTATATATTATAAAAAAAAATCGTTTGTTGGAAAGTTTGATTACGTGTCGTGCTCTCTATCAATTTCAACTTTGTGCTCACACCTAAAGAAATTTGAAATGTTTCCTGTTATAGTAACTTTTTAAAATGTTTTTAGCTTAAAATTTTAAAAAATCAATTAAAATTAATTCGACTAAAAAATTAAATTTTTACAAACACAATTAAATTCTCACTATCTCTTTATTGGAAGCTGCAAAAATTTATTGAACCTTATTGAAAGCTGAAAAGTTTTTTTAATTATTTAATGCGCAAGCCAAATTCAATGGTGTATAAATAGAAGATATATTGGATGAGAGTTGTTCTTTGGGAAACTGCATGTGCTCACATTTTTCATTTCCACTACTTTCTTCATCTTCTCAACCTATTCTTCTACATTATCTATTATTATACCGTTTTTTATGTATATAAAGGATCTTAATCTGTCTAAGGAGGAATTGAGGATTATGGTTAGGGTGGTTAGGACTTAGAAGGTTCCTAATTTTCAGCATAAAGGTTTTGACGACAATGTGGAGATAATTCTTTTGGATGAACACGTAAAAGTTTTTCTCTTACCATTTGCAATTCTATTGTGATATGCTTTTTTTTAACGATTGTATGTATGCGTTTTGTAGGGTGGAAGAATCGATGCTATTGTCAAGTTATTCTTCTATTAGATGAACATGTAATATTTTTTTATTTTTGTTTTTTGTTTTTGTTTTTGGCAGCTCTGTTGTAGAGCAAAGCTGACGGGATGATTTGGAATCACTAAAATATGTACTTCTGTACTTCCTCAGATGAAGGTATGTAATTCTTCTTTATCTGTTTTTCTTCTACAAGTATTTTCTCCATAATTCTTTTCATTTTTGAATATTATAAAATAAATAAATTGCACAATTGAGTTGATATTGTACTGGAAAAGTATCTTTAGGCACGATACATTGTAAAATAAGTAAATTTTTTAATATTTACAATGATTTCTCACAACCACTGCGAAATATGGATCGCAAGCCCGAGCGTACTTTGTGGGAGTAGTATGTAGATCAAGTACAAATTTTTTTGGCAAATAATCAATCTCCTCAAAATGTGGAAAAAGGATTTCAGGGGTATTTTTTATAGTTTTTTCTCACTTTATGCTTATGTTTCAGGGTTATCAATGAGGAAAACGCGAAAAATGCATAATAGTGGAAAATTAAAAGATCAAGGCTTTATAACAGTGAACGCAAACAATCTACCATGAAACCAACATCATCAATAAAATTAGAGTTAAGAAGAAGAAGAACGACTTGTGAGTATATTAGATGGAAGAAGAAGATATGGGTTACCCTCTTTTTGTTTTTCAATTTTGCAGCTTCCTATTTTCTTTTCTTTTTCTTTTTTTCTATTTTCTTCTATAGTATAGACTAATTCCATTCCTTAGATTGATAAGTTTTAAATTCTTTTGTTTGTATTCGTCTTTTTTATTTTGACTAATTGCCAGTGAAAATTTAAAGTATTGTAGTATATCTTTCTCTGGTGTTGACGGCGGACCTACATAGGGGGCTAGTGCCCCCCCCCCCCCCCAAAAAAAACTTATTTATTTAAAATTTTTGCATATAAAAAAATCAATTCAAGGGCAAGTTGCAGCATCAGACTAGAAAGGTACACACAATATATAAACAGTGCTTGGTTAAATGTATAACTTGTTATGGAAATCTTTCTGTTGTACAAAAGTAATAGTATTGTGAATGATTATAGGATGTTGTAGCTATCGAGGAATGGAGATTTTCCAAGTTAAGAGAATACAAGGAGAGAAGTATTGAAGTGAAAAATGAAGCTTTTAACCGGTACATGCAGAATATAGATTTACTAGAAGTGTTTTAAATGAAAAAATAGAATTAGGTAGTATTTACTAGAAGTATTTACTAGAAGCTTTTTACCTATTTATGATCAGTACAATTAGAGCTAGGTAGTTAAAATGGAAAAATGTTTTAAAAATAGAACTAGACCGACTAGTTTTAGTGGTCGGACTATGAATCGGTTATATTTTAGTTTGATTATTATTCAGTTTATCTGCGATTCAACAACAAATTTAATAGCTAATTGAATTCTGGTTTAATGTTGAAACATTTGCCAAAATGAATTGAAATGTCAATGGTTATTGAATAGACAAGTTAATATAATTTTTTTCGCCCCCCATCATAATAATTCCTGGGTCTGCCACACGGTGTTGTTATGTACTTCTATGGTGTAGTTATCTTTCTTTCGGGTAATTACCTTATTTGTTCCCAATTCAATGCATTTGTAGAACACATTTGTTATATCAAAATGAAAGGAACTTAAGAAATAAAGCAAAAGAGCTTTTATTATCTATATTATTATTGAAATTAAGTTTTTATACAAAATGTGGATACTTTGTTTTTGACTATGAAAGGATGAATACCTTTGGTGCGCTGTGATAAATATATATTTTTGACTATAATGCTATACAATCGCTTCGTGATAGTAAAAGTGGTACGTAACTGAGTAGCAGGAGTAACTTTTAATTTATTATGAGTACCACTTGTACAAATAAGAATCCCCCCATTACAGGATTAGGCGGATCGACTCATCAAGTTCTTGTTGAAATAGGATCCGCACAAGGAAAAACACTTGCCATTCATTTGTAGTGAATCACTAAAGAAAATATAGAATAGATAGATAGAAGGTGGACAGCCTGGCAAATAGACATCCACCAGAATTAGCTTATCCACTCCTTGGTTCTCGACAATTTATGGGAAGTTTTCTTATAATATACTTTCGATATTTTTCCAGTTCGACAATTTTTTTTGACAAATCGATCGATTTTTTTTCCTGTGTGTAAAGAACCTTATACACTACCCCAAAAGCTAGCTCAAAAGGTGGGAGTGCCCAAAGCCTTATAAACTCCACATTAGTTGCTCATACAACCAATGTGAGACTATATATCTCAACACGCCCCTCACGCAAGAGCCCTTTGGGCTAAAAGCGTGGAATTGCACAGGCCCAATTTTTGGTTTATCTTTTTGTGCTTTTTTTTATTTTAATTCCACTTTAGAGTGGAGGACGGTGAGGATTAAACTTGTGCTCTGATACCATGTAATGAACATTGGGATACACCACCTCAAAAGCTAGCTCAAAGGGTGGGAGTGCCCAAGGCCTTATAAATTCTACATTAATTATTTATACAACCAATGTGAGACTATATATCTCAACACCGTGCATCGCACGGGTAATATACTAGTTATATTTCCATACGAAGAGCCTAATCAAGCTAATATTTAGAGATTGACGTGGGTGATCAGATGAGGAATCTATTATAGTTCTGTTTAAGTAGAAATTCACTAGAAATATAAATATTATTTTGATAAAGTATTAATTTATATTTCATATAAATTAATTTGAGTATATTTCGATAATGTTTAACTATTTAATTTTATCATTAGATAATTTTAGTTTTAATGTATTGTTACAAATGTTATTTTTTGAAAAACATTTATTATTTAATCATTGAATTATAAATTCACGTAATTTTAATTATTTATTTTCAGATAAAAACAAAGAGATAACTTTTGATCCTGTTTGATCAAAGGAATATAATCTATTGTGAACCTGACACATTGTTCATTTAACCAACAAAAATTGAATTTTAATTTTTTTTTATCATAGACCTTATTTACAATCCTTATAAACTACTATTTTAGAGTTTTTTTTATTATTTATAATTTATACGAGCAGGTTTATTAGTTAAAAAAAATCAAATTTGAGAAAGAAAAAAGAAACTCCTCTTTGAAATGTAGGAACTATGAATTGAAATTCATAAGTTCGAACTTTGGCTTCTGTATATCAAAATTAAATAATACAATGACAAGATGAAAACTTATAAAAGAATAAGTTCTGATCCTATGAATAACAAAAAGATATATCGCGTGTCACTTATAATATGGAATACTCTTTACCCTATGCTCCATTATTTAATTGTGTGGGAAAGTGAGATCAATTAGTATCTGTTTCGCTATATCATATTCCCTTTACAAAAGCAATGTTCAAATTCATCAGAAGATCTGTACTTTGATAAGAAAATTTCTCTTTGTCTCTTTCTCAAATTATAGAATTCAGACATATTAGTTACTTAACAAGATCAAGTGGCCAAATTGCATTAATTCAATTTTTGTCGTTGTCATGGAGAATGTAGATCGCCAAAAATGGGTACACGTTGAGACTATGCAGCCTGCTTCAGCTGACTCAAATTTGGCAGCAATCTATTTCCGTGGGCCCAGCAAGAAGAGGTGGGCTGACAGCCCAAATACTTGTCGGATTTGATATTGGGCTAAAATATGTTTTCGGCTGAGCATTAAGATTCATGGTGTCTTATAATTAAGGGCTGACTGATAAAATCCTAAAACTATTTATTTGGCTTTTTTATTATTTTGTTGTAGCTCATCGCTGACGACAAAAAATAAGTGATTTACTTAGGGCTGGCAATATGGGCCAGCCCGCCCCGGCCCGCCACTAGCCCGCCCAAAATGGGCTGGCCCGCCCCGGCCCGTTTTGACAAAATGGGTTGAAAGGAGTAACCCGGCCCGTTTTATGAGTGGGCTGGCGGGCTACGGGCCAGCCCGCCTAAAATAAAAAAAATATAAAAAAAAATACAAAAACTTAAATTCTGCATAAAATCACATAAAAAAATCTGCAGAAAAACATACAAAAATCTGCATAAAATCCTAATGTGCTTATGAAACCAAGAAGATCAGTGTTTAATAATCTGCATATAAATATGCATCTTTCATTCCAAAAATAATAATAAAAAAATAAAATCATATCAGGATAAAATAGAGTAACAAAACAAGTAACAAAGTGTTGTATGAGCAGTCCACAACAATTCAAAAAAGCCACTTGCATGCAGAGAAATTTAAGATACGGAGCTACATAACAATTGGGTAACCTAAAAAAAAAAAAAAAAAAGGACTTGGCGGGCTAGCCCGCCCCGTGGCGGGCTGACCCATATGGGCTGGCGGGTTTGGCGGGGCGGGTTTGGCGGGCTGGTGGGTTGAAAAACTCAACCCAGCCCGCCCCATTTGGCAGGCGGGGCGGGCCAGCCCGGCGGGCTCAGCCCATTTTGCCAGCCCTAGATTTACTTAATCGTGTGGAGCAACCGGAATCAAATCACTTAGCACGTGCATGACACTCATTTTATTTCTTGGCATTATTTTTGAAAAAAAAATAATTATTTTCTATTTTTATGCTTTGGGACATTTTTTGAAAAAAAAAATATGTTTGATAAAATATTTCATTTTTAATCTGAGAATGAGAATTACGTTTGTTAAACTCTTTTTTTTTATTCCGAGAATCAGAATTACGTTTGATAATACAATACAAATCTATTTCTTTACTTTTTGTTTATAAATTTCATCAACTGGATAAACTAACAAATTGCAATAGATTTCAACTGAAATGCCAACATTTCATATTTAAAAAAAGAGTAAGGGTATTGTAACAATCAATTAGTATTACTACCAATCAATTTCACCGTTAGATCGATTGTGTTTATCCAACGATTATTTTTATTTCCATCTTTGTATGGTTATGATTCCTCATATTTAATACTTTATATTTATTTCTACCTTTGTATAATTATGATTTCCCATATTTAATGTTTTCACATTCAATATAGGAAATCATAATCATACAAAGATGAAAATAAATATAACCGTTGAATCCACATAATCGATCTAATGGTAAAATTGATTGGTAGTAACACTAATTGGTTGTTACAATATCCTACCCCCTTAAAAAATTATCTAAAAAATTGTAATATTTTATTGTGTAATATTTTTTACAGCAAATGCTAAGATATAGTTTTAACCATTATTTTTTATCCTCTTCTTAATTCATATTTTTATTATTTCTCATTCTTGACCATTTCATTTCTTAATACCATATTATTACCTTAATATTAATGATACAAATGAATAAATAAATACATATATATAAGTCACATGACTCAACTAAAATTTCATGATATCACAATGATTTAAAGAAAAAAAAAATTGATGTTGCATTGAACAAAAAATGACAAGTCTCTAATGTATTTTGAATATGTTCTTAATTCGTCAACATCATATTGGAGGCAAGTAATTGTCTCTAGCTAATTGGCTTGCAATATTTTTCTTAATAATCTATATTTCGGTCACTTGATTTGAGGGGCCCTCATCATCTATAGTTGCATATGTATGGGTTGATGCTGCAATGTTGGAATTCGCATAATGTGCTAGATTTTTGTCTGCTATCTGATGATCCCTGATAAAGTTATGTATTGAACAACATGCAATCACAATGATAGCTTGCTTCCAAAACAAAAATAGAGGCATTTGCCGCAAAATTAGGAACCTATTCTTCAAAGCTCCAAATGACCGTTCGATTACATTTCTCAAAGAAGAGTGCCTATGGTTGAACAACTCCTTAGTTGATCTAGGTTGATTTTGTCTTCCTCTATAGTCGTTCAAATGGTAGCGCTCTCCTTTGAATGGTGTCAAATAACCATCCCTAGTTGGGTATCCAGAATCAACGGCATAAAATTTGCCTACATGTTGACAAGAATTTACCAATATATAAATTGCAATAATAATAAGGACAATCAAATGTGAAACTAAAGAAAAATGTCATTCACATTGTTGTATAAACTCATCGTACCTGGTGGGGGATGAGGGAATTCCAACCTAGGAGTTTCAAGCGCAGTAGTAAAAATACGACAATCATTTGCGGATCCTTCCCATCCAGCATACACAAAAGTGAACTTCATGTCAAAGGAACATGCACACATGACATTTTGGGTTGTAATTTGTTTCCTGCCTCTAAATGGTATTTGCTTATTCTCAGGTAACATAGAACTTATGTGAGTGCCATCTATTGCGCCAATACAATCCTAATATTTAAAATGAAATATTAAAATGGAAAATAATTAAATAAATTTATGAAAATTAAAAATGCTTAAATCCTTAAGAAAAATTTACCTTCAAGTATAGGATATGTTTAGGATTGTCCTTAATTTCCTTTGGAACCATATCTAGAGGAGGTGGTTTAATGATCTCACGTGCTAATTGAAGCATTGCTTTCAACACTTTGTTGAAATACTTGCTAATTGTTTGCCCTGAGCGCTGAAATCTCTCACTAACATTCCGATTTGAACTGCTATGTCCAATCAAGTACAAAACATTTCCTAATTATTCATCAATCCTAACATATCTATTGTCTCCTAACTAGCCTTTTTGTGTCATCAACGTACAAAGTTTGTTGAACACAAATCTTTCCATTCTAAATGCCTCATATATTCTATCTGAGTGACCAGATCTATGTTTTGTAACCCATTCATCACCTGTCAGGCTACTATCTCTAATTGGTTCTTTAGTATATATTGAATTATTAATAGTAATATTCAACAAGTTTGATATAACAAGATCTTCATCTATTGATTTGTCGCCAGTATGAGGTTCAAAATATTTCCCACAAGTTAGAGAAACAAGAGCACCCGCCATGATAATACTGCATCAATACATATTATCATCATTAATGTCATGCTAACATATTTTTAAAAAAAGTATCCTCATGATAGTCATACAAAAAATGAAAATTAAAATATGGTCTTCAACGCCATTAAACAAGACAAAATTAAAAAGTTGCAACACAATTTTATTCATTTAAAAATTTATAGGAGCGAATCTCTCCTCTCAGGTGGAGCCTTTATAAAGGCTACTCTCCACGCTTGGCTCTCAACCACTCGATCAACTGCTTTGCGGTACGCTTCATTCTCCAATCCCACCATGTTATTCAATACATTCATTGCAGCTTCAACTGAGTATGGATCCTCATTCACTTTTGTACTAGCAGAATTAGCATAATTATGCTGGCATTGGTTTTGTCTAATCTTAACTAGATCCTGAATGGCTTGACATGCCATTGCAATATCTGTATTCTCAATACCTCATCTACGCTTTGCATTTGGGGTCCTATCCTGTCTATGTAGTGTAGGACCATGCAACTCAACAAGATCAGATGCAAATAAATCTTCATTAAGCATATGCTCATCTTCTTTATATTCTTGTATATATAGTACAGGACTGGGCGTCTCAATAAGACTGTCAATATTATCATCATCTCCATCTAAAATTCTGTATACCTCAGCATTTCCTATGACATTATCTCCACTTACATAAACATCCCCAAATATCTCAACTAATTATTCCCAATAAGGATATACCTCAGCATTTACCTAATTTTATTTAAAAAATCAACAAATTTATAAGAAATCATATGGGACACTATGTTAAAAGTTACCATAATGTGGACATCCCATAAAGATGCATCCTCGGTTGTAGCAGTTTTCAAAATAGTGTTCCAACCAAAACTAGATATGCTTAGTAATTTCTTGAATCTTGAATATTCTTGTCTAAGTTTATTCATCTTGTTTTTCAGTTGATTTAGTGTGTAATCAAGTCCTGCTTATTTTGTAAATTCATCTTTAATGCTTTTCCATGCTTTCTTACTGAAGTTAGAGGTTGTTCTATTTACTTTTTTTAACTTCCTCAACTAGCAAATTAACAAAAAGATTTGTGTTTTTATCAGTCTATTTTGTGTTGAACCCTTCGGATGCCATTCTCCTTGCTGAAAACATGTCAGAAAAATGAAAATTATAACACCCAAAAGTAGAAATGCACATACTCAGCCTGCTGAATAATGGTCTGATAAAAACATATTAGTTTGTTATAGAAATACTAAGCATAAAATCAAAATTCACTTCCATAAATCCACTTACATTAACAACTCCTTACGTGCTGGTTTAGAAAATAAAGAAAAATGTGGAATGAAACTCAATGAGACTTTAAGGGATGTGATATTTATAAAGGATGGTTTGTTTTTGTTTGTTTGTTAGGTTAAGAGTTTGTGACATTACTTGCTATAGTTGATGTTTCTGAATGAATGTGGGAACATATTGTCACACACTAAACTTGTAACTTTGGGTTTGGTGTGAAATTAAGAAGCCTCTTGCAGAAGATGTGAGCGTGACTGCATAGGTGATTGGTGATGGACACTTAAATTTACTCCACTATCTTTAAGCTACCAATAATTTTATAATAATATTTGAAATTCTTGAACGCGTATTTTGAAAATAAGATTTCTAATCAAATAAATTGCTCATAGTAAAAAGGCTTCTAGATGGTAGCCGCTATAATCCCTATGTTAGTGTATGTATCTTGAGACCCTATGTTATTAAACTATGAGGTTTATGTGTAATCCCTTAAGCAATCAGATAACTAGTCATACCCCCACAGTCACAATGCATCAAATTAACAGTTTACAAGGTCAATTACACAAGAATTCAATCACAAGGAAAAAACATCAATTTGGAAATTCAAGAGCCCTAGTCCAATTTCAGAAATCTCAAAATTTGCAAATTCAATTTCGAATCACAGGTCATAAAAGAAGAAAAATTAATTAACAAAATAAGCATTTAGTCCTACCATACAAATATACAATAGTGCCATCAACGAAATACAAGTAGACTTTTACCCAAAAAAAGAAAAAAAGAAATATAAGTAGATAATCTATCAGCGCTCGAATTGGTTGGCTAGGTGACAAAGAATAGTACAAATTTAGATTTCAAAATCATCCATCACGGGTGTCAGGCAATGAGAAAGTAAAGAATAGTACCTTATTCGCAACCTTTGGTATAAGAGAGCTTAAAGAATAGTACAATTTGTCAGTGCTCGAAAGTGGTTGCAAGAAGACGAAAAACTTCCACGGTGAAGGGAGGGATGGTGATCCGGTGATATGGTTTAAGGTCGGTGATGATTTGATGTTGGTGTGTGAGTGGGTACGAAGAAGTGAGAGAAAACCGATTCTCTTTTTGTGCCCTAGAATGGAGAAGCATAAATTTTTTTTATTTTTTTTTATTTTTCAACACAAAAATTAAATTGATTCATCTCGGGAATAAAAAAATAAATCGATTTTACCAAACGCTATTATTAGTGTATAGAATCCACTTCGATTAATTAACTATAGCAGTTAAGTTTATTTAGTTAGTTAACTTTGGCAGTTAGTTAGTTTTATATTTAGCTAATCGGTTATTACCGTTTATTCTGTTTTCCTGATACTGATATATATATCAGTTTCATTGTAATTTTTACTCACTTGATTCATTTCATTCATTATGAGAACTTTCCTTTATAGTAAAGCTTTCTGTTTCTTCTTTGTAATATGGTATCATTATGAGAAACTGATCCCTTGTTCTATGCCTGGAATCGTTGCAACACTACAGTATTATCTTGGTTACACCATTCCATTGCAGACTCAATAGTCCAATCAATTGTATGCGTTGATCTAGCATCAGAAGTATGGAGGGACCTTTGTGAAAGGTTTTCCCAATCAGATGTGTTTTGTATTGCAGATCTTCAAGAAGATTTGTTTCGTATGTGCCAAGGTGATTGCACTATTTCTCAATATTTCACAAAATTGAAAATATTGTGGGATGAGCTAGACAGTTTGCAGCCATTACCCAAATGTAATTGTAACCCAACTTGCATTTGTGGTAATCAGATGCAAAATCTAGCTCGTGTATGTAGAGAGAAAGATCATGTAATTCGGTTTTTAAGGGGTCTCAATGAGCAATTCTCACATGTGAGATCACAAATAATGCTCATGGATCCTTTACCAAACATAAATCGAGCCTTTTCTTTAGTTGCTCAACAAGAAAGGCAGTTTACTGCTGGTGTTAATCTTGATGTGAAGGCATTTCTGAATGCTCATGAGCAGAATTTCAATCGAGGCAACACTGCTCTAATGAACAATCAAGAACAAAGCTTTAATCGTGGATATGTCTCCTAGAGAGGTAGAGGGAGAATGAATTTTGGAAGAGAAGGAAGAACAAATACTACAAGACTATGTACTCACTGTGGAAGATCCAATCACACAATAGAAACCTGTTTTGAGAAACACGGTTACCCACCTAGCTTCAAAACCAGATTTCCAAGAATAGCAAATATGGATTCTCATGATGACACTGATCCTTTCAGTTTTGAACCAGAAAATGAAACTGCAGAATTTGATGCTAACCAGTTTCAGTTTACAAAAGAACAATATCAAAGTCTCCTTGGTTTGCTACAGAATCCAAAGCAAGAAGACATACATAAGTCCAATTCGGTTCAGGTTAATACAACTTCTTTGACTCCAGGTAACTCTCATCCACAATGGATCCTTGATACTGGTGCAACCGATCATCTAGGTCACCAAAATTTTCTATTCTCTTCCTTCGAAATATTAAACCTGTTTCTGTCACATTACCTGATGGTAATCAAGTATTAGCCACTCAAACTGGCAGTGCTTACATTTCTCCCTTTCTCACATTGCATAATGTCCTTTTTGTTCCTAACTTTCATGTAAATCTTATATATGTTGCCAAACTAATCCATGATTCAAACTGTCATGTGATCTTCCACTCACAAAGTTGCTCCATCTTGCAGAACAATACCTTGAGGATGATTGGTTCAGCTAAATTGGATAGAGGACTCTACATTCTCAACTTCAATGTGAATTCGAATAGATACTGCTGCAATGCTACTGATTTTGTCTCATCCAAGTTATGGCACCTTCGACTTGGCCATTATTCTAAATCTGTTTTGTATAAAATGTCTACTGTTTTTCCCTTCATATCTTGTAAGAATGATTCTGAACCTTGTGACATATGTCACTATTCTAAACAAAAGAAGTTTCCTTTTCCTTCTAGCATTTCAGAATCTTTACATCCCTTCAATATGATGCATGCTGATATATAGGGTCTATATGCAACCCAATCAATTCATGGACATCGTTATTTCTTAACATTGGTAGATGATTATTCCCGTTTCACTTGGGTAATACCAATGAAAGCTAAATCAGAAACAAGACAACATATACAAAACTTTGTGTCTCTTGTCCAAACACAGTTCCACATCACCATTAAAATTTTTAGAACATATAATGGCACTGAGTTTGCCATGACTGAATACTTTAAAACTAAAGGAATACAACATCAAACTTCTTGTGTAGAGTGTCCCCAACAAAATGGGATAGTTGAGCGAAAACATCAACATATATTAAATGTTGCTAGAGCTCTTTTCTTTCAATCCAAAATTTCTAAGTCATATTGGACCTACTGCATCATTCATGCTATACACATTATAAACAGATTGACCACATCATCTCTACATCATAAAACTCTTTATGAACTCTTATACAACACACCTCCTTCTTTTGATCATTTAAAAGTATTTGGTTCACTGTGTTTTATTTCCACTCTTTAACAGCATCAAACTAAATTTGACAATCGAGCTAAGAAATGTGTTTTTCTTGGTTACAAAGAAGGTACAAAAGGATATATTGTCCTTGACTTAAACACAAATGAAATTCTCACTTCCAGAAATATTGATTTCTATGAAAACAATTTTCCATTCATTCAAAACAGCATTGATTCCAATCCTCCAGTTTCGGTCCTGCCTTTATC